GAGAGGGGCTAGGCTTGTGAATTAACATGTAGCAGATTTGGAACAAGTAGCTCTCGATGCCGGAGAGGGGGAGAGTATACATACGATTGCAGAGATAGTCCCTCACACCGGCATGATCGTGCTTGTAGAGGTAGCTGACGGCGATCCATTCGCAGAAGAAGGACGAGTCAAAGAATCTGATTAGCCACCCGCTCTCCCCGGTGGTTTCACTCGTCGGAATCGTCCGAGTCACCTCGCGAGGTGAATCGGTCCAGTCTCCGAAGGCGCGCGTCAATCCTAGTAGCCTCACCATCGTCAATTCCTGCTCATCCTAATCATGAAATTCCAAGCCCTAAACCCCTAATTTTTTTTTTTGCAGATTCTAAAAACTCTGTATCCGCGTCCGTGTATCTATTATCGTTTGAAAATCGAGAATGGGAATACGAGGCGGGGCAATTGGGTTTTTCAACGACGCCGTGTGATTTGGCCGGCGCCGGGATAGGGGGGGAATCGTGGGAGGAAAAAGAGGTGGTGGTGGTGGGTGCTAACGTGCGCGGAGATTTGTATTTTTATTTTATTTATTTTTTAATTTAAATTTGATTGTTGGTGAAGTTTGGAGTGGGGGTGAGTTAGCAAATGCACAATTTTTCTGTTGGCGAGAAAAAAATTAATTTGAAATTTTTGTTGCACATGTGAATTTGTGATTGCGTTTTGCGACTGGTTTTTCAATTGCTCGTGTTTTGAAACTTTGGTACCAGCAGATTTGGAAAATAATAATTTATTTATATATTTTTGTTTTTTTTGGTTATACCAACTTCGCATTGTTCATTTTTTTTTAGACCAAAGTCTATTTAGATAAGTTTTTCAATGAAGTAATGACAAAATATTTTTTAGTTTAGATACAAAATTTTGAAAAGGTAATTGCCAGATAAGTTTTTTTAATAATGATAGTGTGGGTTCATTTGGCTAAACTTAATTTAAATAGTTGATAAGCTCTTACGTATGAAAAAAAAATAAAGAGCTGACAAGCTGTTAAATGATAAATCTTATTTTTAGAATTAATTTTTGAAGTGTTTGGATAATGATTTTTTTTGTTATTTTACTCATTATAAAATTTCAAATAAAAAAGTGGAATGGATGTACTTTTAAAAACTGACAAATTACTGCTACCCCTGATATAAGGTTAAATTAAAAAAAAAAAAAAAAAAAAAAGTCTTGTTTGCATAATTACAGTCACCCTTCAACTATTGACGAAAAAAAACCCATCCATATGATGATTTAGAGGTGTTCATTCGGTAATATCGTACTGAAATTTTGGTACGCCAAATTTCTTATGGTTTATCGTACGGTTCGATAAATAATCGAATTATCAAATTTTATTAAAAATATTTAAAGATATGTTTTTCTTTGTCGCCACTAAAATTTTAGCAAAAAATTTATATTATGGTTTAGACTCATATATTTCCATCATAATTCAGTATAATGATACTTTTTTTTTGACAGGTCAATGTAATTTGCGAATATAGAACTAGATAATTAGAAGAATTGTAATAAATCAACCCTTAAGCTAGTAGCTAAATATACTTGAATAAGAAAAAATATGATGGACTTGTAAAGTTTTGTCCAATTACTTAAAAGGGGTTTATTATTCATAGTGCATTTTTTTCCAGTTATAGTGCGAAATAATTCATTTGTCAAGAAATTCTTTAATCTTTTTCGAAATCTCTCAACCTCAAAATATACCAACTTTTGTAGATCGTGATTTGTTTTCGTTACAATCAGTTAAAACCCAACAATTATCAAGATGGCCAACATCGATCCCATAAATGAGGTAAAAATTTACGTTTTTGTTTGGGTTTTTTTTTATTTTCAGTCATTTCGTATACTACACGAAATTATTCAAGTCGTTTTCGTGGTGTTATGTACGAAATTAACATCATATTCATGTTTACCAATAATTTCGTACAAAACACTACGAAATTATAACTAGTATTTCGTGTAAAACCATACGAAACAGGCAGTAAACTGTTTTTGTTTTGAGTTTCGTACATTAGTACATGAAATGTACATACTTATTTCGTGTACTTTTACACGAAATCCCTAGTTATTTTTTATTTTTATTTTTTGTGCAAGTATCTAACTGTTTTTTTTTTCTTCATACGCAGCCATATGAAGACAATTTGTATTTTGATCCCTCAGTTTTGGAGTGAAACGAATATGAAGATTTCTCTCACTTTTTCCAAGTTGATATTGTGTTCGATAGTAGGGAAAAATTAATCAAGTGGGCCAAAGCAACTTCAGTTAGTCAGTGTTACCGTTTAATTTGTCAGTCTAGAAGGGGGAATGCACATTACTTGATGTGTGACAAATACAGACATGGCCGACACACGAATATCGATGTGGAAGATCCTAGAAACATTCAAAAAAATGTGGTTTTACGTTCAAATTGATTGGCAAAAAGTCAAGGTTTGATGAATTATGGCGGTTGACTGTCAGCGATGGCAGGCATACTCATCCTCCGGCTTTGTTTCCTCACGGACATGGTACGACTAGTCGTATAACTCCACAACAGAAAGCAAGAATTAAAGGATTGAGAAATTCTCACGTGAAGCCAATGTTAATCATGGATAGATTGAGGAAAGATGATCTGACGATACAAACCTCTATGAAGCATGTTTACAATGAGATGGCCAAGATAAAATGTGATGAAATGGAGGGCATGACTATGATGCATAACTTTCAACAAGGCGAGTATCGATATTGGCATCGCGTCGATAGTGAAAAGAGCAACACAATAACAAATGTTATGTTTGCATGTCCCGAATCTATTAAGTTACTACGGCTATTCCCGTATGTTATATTGATGAACTGCACATACAAAACCAATAAGTGAGTAAAAATTACGATTCTTCAAATTATGATTGTTGTGTTTTAATGTACTGTATTGTTTAAATATGTAAAAACAACATTGTTGTAGGTATGGAATGCATCTTTTGGAAATAATTGGGATAACTCCAGTTGGGAGGAATTTTACGGTTGATGTTGCATTTATGTCGCATGAACATGCAGACACCTACGAGTGGACTTTGAATTGTTTGAGAGAGTTGCTAGATCTTGACAGACAGGGAGTTGGGTCTTTTGAAAGCACTGTCAAATGTCTTCCCAGTTTCGTATCATATGTTGTGTATATTCCAAATAAACAGAAATGTTGAGGCAAATGCGACGAAATTTATGGGAGGCAACAAAGACCAAGGTCTAAAATTCCGACGTGTGTTGTGGGCTAAGCTGGTGAAATCAGAAACCGAAGAAGAGTATCATTACAATTACAATGAAATTGTTGGACGGTATGCATGATATCCTAGACTGATACAGTATTTGAATGATACGTAGTTGATATACAAGGAGAAGTTTGTCCGAGCCTATACCCGCAATGTGTATCATTTTGGCAACACGAGAACCAAGGGGTATTACATGTTTTAGTTATTTAAATGATAAAATATATTATATAAAAATAATATTTATTTTGTAATTTGATTGCCGTTGTATACTTTGATTGTTGTTGTGATCGGATAGGGTGGAGAGTACTCATTCTTCTGCGAAGGGTTGGTTAAATGCTTATGTCGGAGGTCTGGATAACGTGCAAGGTAAACTTCGGGACCAAGTTTATATCCAAATTAGTCAGCTGAAGTGCGATTTTTCATTATCATCCAAGATAAGGAAGCATACTGCATCCCGACCGCGTTTTCAGGGTTTGATTTGTTATGTTACGCATCTGGCATTAGAGAAATTGGATCAAGAGATGGAGTCCCCGGCGATGCAAGATCCGAGTATTTTCACACACTGTCTTTGGAATACTCATGGGCTCCCTTGCGCGTGCAAAATTTTGCAGAAAATGGAAGATAATGACACGTTCGTCATTTCAGACTTGCATCCATTCTGGAGTACCATGGCAGTTGAACCTTCGGAGCTACCTGAGTATCAAGTAAACCGCGAGGCGATTGTGGATAGACAGATTGATGATCTGAATTGCAATTTGAAGAAGATGAATTACACGAGTAAGATAAATATTGTGGCATCATTGTGTGGCATCGCTTATCCGTCTACGTCGCATCTGTCCGAGCCATCATTTGTTAAGACCAAAGGACGACCAAAGAATAACTCGACAAAGAGAGACCCTTCCGGATGGCAGTATCATATTGATGAGAAGACAATTAAGTCGTCTTGTGGTTCCAAGGATCGCCAAATCTCATCTGGTGCAAAGATTCCTAAAGCAAAGGTTGAGAGAAGCACTGATGGAACGCCTCAATCTAAGATGAAAGGTCGTGGTTCTCGTATTCCCACACAAGAATTTGCTGCCCCTACGATACCTGCACATGAAGGAATCGACTTTTATTCTTTTGTGCTCAGATTTATTGTCTGTCTTATTCAAGATTATGTTAACGTCATGGCTGATGGCAACTGTGGGTACCGGTGCGTTGCTCAAGCCGTGTACGGGGATCAAGAAAGATGGCCGCAAGTGAGAGGGGAGTTGCTTATTGAGTTATACGAGCATGCTAAAGTGTACATGACGATGTTTGGCAGTACTGGATACGCTGAGGTCATACGCAAGTGTGACTGAACCTCAGGGCCTTTGTCCACAAGCTTATTGGATGGACATGAATGAAATGGATTGGGCATTGCTACCAAATACAATGCATTAGTGGTACTTTTGACCCAAGTAGGGAGTATGACTTACCTTCCTATGTTTGGCAGTGGTCACTTATCATGTATGATTGTTGTGACATTGCACAACAATTATTTCATATTTGTTAATTTGGTCGCGAATAGTCATCTACCACCTATCCATCCGGCATGGGTACATCATAGAGCTAAAAACCTGAGGCACTTACTCAAAATGTTCAAACCCCGACTACTCTTGTATGAACAATTAAAGTCTGGTTGGTAGTTCAATTTGTAGTTGCATTTGAATTTTAGTTCAATTTATATTTGTATTTGAATTTTAGATCAATTTGTAGTTGTATTTGAATTTTAGTTCAATTTGTATTTGTATTTGAATTTTTTAGGTCAATTTTTTTTTTACTTGAGTTTAAGAATATTTATGTTAATTTATTTTATTTATTTGAATGTTTGAAATAAGTTGGTTAAATTAAAAAAAAACAAATCAATTAGTGGTTTCGTACTAAATTGTATGAAACATTACCTTATATTTCGTGGAAAACTCTACGAAATATAATGTGTAATTTCGTGTTTTATTTCACGAAGGAGAAGAATGTTTTCAATCCAACAGTTTCGTGTATGATTGTTATATAATAATAAACACGTAAATTTCGTGTAAAAATACACGAAATTGTTGTGTGATTTTGTAATATAACACACGAAATAGCGGACGAATTTGGTTTTCTTTTTTTAAGGAAAGTTACAAATGAAATAAATCGCACTGCAAGGTGGTAAAAGTTGCACTATGAATAGTATTTCAGTTACTTAAATTTGGAAGGGGCAAAGGATTAAGGAATTATGTAACTACGCCTACACCCCTGAGCTGTGCTAAAAAAATTCTAAGATCCATATTGGTCGGACTATTAATTCCAATGAGACCCCCCCCCCCCCCCCCCCGAAACATTG